AAATTAAAGAATCGAAACAGTGAAAAAATCCCAAACTGAAACATTGAAAAATTCAGAAATCGAAAAATTGAAAAATCACAATTGAAGGAAGAATTGAAAATTCGAGAAATAGAGAAATGGGAAAATAAAAAAATCAGTTAATCGAAAAATTGAGAAATCGAAAAATTTAGAAACGTCAAAAATTGAAAACTGGAAAATAAAAAAAATTAAAAATCGTAAAACTGAAACATCGGAAAATTGAGAAATCGAAAAATGAAGAAATTCGAGAAATCGAAGAATCGATAAATTGAAAAATCCCAACAGTAATATATCGAAAAATTGAGAAATCGAAATCGAGCAAAACTGAAGTATCGTAAAGTTAATAAATTGAAAAACTGAAAATTTTTGAAAAAAAAAATCGCATCAAAAACTGAAAATTCAAAAAATCGAGAAATTGAACAATCAAAAAATCAAAACATTGAATCCCAGTAAGTTGATAAATAGGAAAATTTAAAAAACAAAAATTTTAAAAATCCAGGAATTGAACAACAAAAAAAATCCTAACCTAAAAACTCAGAAAATCGAATGATCGAGAACTCAAAACATCAAAGAAAACAAAAAATCTAAAATTTAAAAATTCGACAAATTGAAAAATCATGGAACTGAAAAACCGAAAAGTCGAGATAGTGAGAAATCTAAAAACCTAAAACTTTAGAAACTGGCAAATTAAAATATCGAAAAATTTAAAAACCGAAAAAACACAATATCAAAAATTTGAAAAATTGAAGAAACAAAATATTGCAAAATTTCCAAGCTGAAACATTGAAAAACCTAAAATTGGAAGGAAAATTAAAGAATCGAAACATTGAAAAAATCCCAAATTGAAACATTGAAAAATTCAGAAATCGAAAAATTGAAAAATCACAATTGAAGGAAGAATTGAAAAATGGAGAAATAGAGAAATGGCAAAATAAAAAAATCAGTTAATCGAAAAATTGAGAAATCGAAAAATTTAGAAACGTCAAAAATTGAAAACTGAAAAATAAAAAAAATTAAAAATCGTAAAACTGAAACATCGGAAAATTGAGAAATCGAAAAATGAAGAAATTCGAGAAACCGAAAATATGAAGAATCGAGAAATCGAAGAATCGATAAATTGAAAATCCCAACAGTAATATATCGAAAAATTGAGAAATCGAAATCGAGCAAAACTGAAGCATCGTAAAGTTAATAAATTGAAAAACTGAAAATTTTTGAAAAAAAAAATCGCATCAAAAACTGAAAATTCAAAAAATCGAGAAATTGAACAATCAAAAAATCAAAACATTGAATCCCAGTAAGTTGATAAATAGGAAAATTTAAAAAACACATATTTTAAAAATCCAAGAATTCAACAACCAAAAAAATCCAAGCCTGAAAACTCAGAAAATCGAATGATCGAGAACTCAAAACATCAAAGAAAACAAAAAATCTAAAATTTAAAAATTCGACAAATTGAAAAATCATGGAACTGAAAAGCCGAAAAGTCGAGATAGTGAGAAATCTAAAAACCTAAAACTTTAAAAACTGACAAATTAAAATTTCGAAAAATTTAAAAACCGAAAAAACACAATATCAAAAATTTGAAAAATTGAAGAAACGAAATATTGCAAAATTTCAAAGCTGAAACATTGAAAAACCTAAAATTGGAAGGAAAATTAAAGAATCGAAACATTGAAAAAATCCCAAATTGAAACATTGAAAAATTCAGAAATCGAAAAATTGAAAAATCACAATTGAAGGAAGAATTGAAAAATCGAGAAATAGAGAATTGGGAAAATAAAAAAATCAGTTGATCGAAAAATTGAGAAATCGAAAAATTTAGAAACGTCAAAAATTGAAAACTGGAAAATAAAAAAAATTAAAAATCGTAAAACTGAAACATCGCAAAATTGAGAAATCGAAAAATGAAGAAATTCGAGAAATCGAAGAATCGATAAATTGAAAAATCCCAACAGTAATATATCGAAAAATTGAGAAATCGAAATCGAGCAAAACTGAAGTATCGTGAAGTTAATAAATTGAAAAACTGAAAATTTTTGAAAAAAAAAAATCGCATCAAAAACTGAAAATTCAAAAAATCGAGAAATTGAACAATCAAAAAATCAAAACATTGAATCCCAGTAAGTTGATAAATAGGAAAATTTAAAAAACAAAAATTTTAAAAATCCAGGAATTGAACAACAAAAAAAATCCAAGCCTGAAAACTCAGAAAATCGAATGATCGAGAACTCAAAACATCAAAGAAAACAAAAAATCTAAAATTTAAAAATTCGACAAATTGAAAAATCATGGAACTGAAAAACCGAAAAGTCGAGATAGTGAGAAATTTAAAAGCCTAAAACTTTAAAAACTGAAAAATTAAAATTTCGAAAAATTTAAAAACCGAAAAAACACAATATCAAAAATTTGAAAAATTGAAGAAACAAAATATTGCAAAATTTCAAAGCTGAAACATTGAAAAACCTAAAATTGGAAGGAAAATTAAAGAATCGAAACAGTGAAAAAATCCCAAACTGAAACATTGAAAAATTCAGAAATCGAAAAATTGAAAAATCACAATTGAAGGAAGAATTGAAAAATCGAGAAATAGAGAATTGGGAAAATAAAAAAATCAGTTGATCGAAAAATTGAGAAATCGAAAAATTTAGAAACGTCAAAAATTGAAAACTGGAAAATAAAAAAAATTAAAAATCGTAAAACTGAAACATCGGAAAATTGAGAAATCGAAAAATGAAGAAATTCGAGAAATCGAAGAATCGATAAATTGAAAAATCCCAACAGTAATATATCGAAAAATTGAGAAATCGAAATCGAGCAAAACTGAAGTATCGTAAAGTTAATAAATTGAAAAACTGAAAATTTTTGAAAAAAAAAATCGCATCAAAAACTGAAAATTCAAAAAATCGAGAAATTGAACAATCAAAAAATCAAAACATTGAATCCCAGTAAGTTGATAAATAGGAAAATTTAAAAAACAAAAATTTTAAAAATCCAGGAATTGAACAACAAAAAAAATCCAAGCCTGAAAACTCAGAAAATCGAATGATCGAGAACTCAAAACATCAAAGAAAACAAAAAATCTAAAATTTAAAAATTCGACAAATTGAAAAATCATGGAACTGAAAAACCGAAAAGTCGAGATAGTGAGAAATCTAAAAACCTAAAACTTTAAAAACTGAAAAATTAAAATATCGAAAAATTTAAAAACCGAAAAAATAAAATATCAAAAATTTGAAAAATTGAAGAAACGAAATGTTGCAAAATTTCAAAGCTGAAACTTTGAAAAACCTAAAATTGGAAGGAAAATTAAAGAATCGAAACAGTGAAAAAATCCCAAACTGAAACATTGAAAAATTCAGAAATCGAAAAATTGAAAAATCACAATTGAAGGAAGAATTGAAAAATCGAGTTTTTCAATTTATTAACTTTACGATACTTCAGTTTTGCTCGATTTCGATTTCTCAATTTTTCGATATATTACTGTTGGGATTTTTCAATTTATCGATTCTTCATATTTTCGGTTTCTCGAATTTCTTCATTTTTCGATTTCTCAATTTTCCGATGTTGCAGTTTTACGATTTTTAATTTTTTTTATTTTTCAGTTTTCAATTTTTGACGTTTCTAAATTTTTCGATTAACTGATTTTTTTATTTTCCCAATTCTCTATTTCTCGATTTTTCAATTCTTCCTTCAATTGTGATTTTTCAATTTTTCGATTTCTCAATTTTTCAATGTTTCAGTTTTGGATTTTTTCACTTTTCCGATTCTTCAATTTTCTTTCCATTTTTCAGTTTTTCAAGATTTCAGTTTTGAATTTTTTCACTTTTTCGATTTTTCAATTTTCCTTCCATTTTTCAGTTGTTCAGTATTTCAGTTCTGGGATTTTGTGATGTTTCGGTTCTTCAATTTTTCCATTTTTTGATGTTTCGATTTCTCGGTTTTTCAATTTTTCGACAGGTATTTTAATTTTTCAATTTTTAAGTTCTAGATTTTCCGTTAATTTTTTTGGTTACCTTGATGTTTTGATTTGTCGATTATTCGATTTTTCAAGTTCTCGGTTTAGATTTTTTGGTTTTCCAATTCTTCGATTTGTAAATTCTTTAATTTTTAGATTGTTCAATTTCTCGATTTTTAGATTTTTCAATTTTTCGGTTTACCGATTTTTTTTCATTTAAAATGTTTCAATTTTTCAATTATTAACTTTTCGATTTTTCAATTTTGGTCTAATTTGATTTCTTAATTTTTTGATTTTTTGGCTTTTTGAGTGTTCAATTTTTTGATTTTTGAATTTTAGATTTTTGTTTTTTTGATTTTTTTGGTGTTTCGATTTACCAATTCTTCAATTTTTCGATATTTTAATTTTTCAATTTTTCGAATTCTTCAATTTTTGATTTTTCTTTTCTTTTATTTCTCAATTTTTGGATGTTTTAAATTTTACATTTTTCAATTTTACTATTTTTTGATGCTTGGATTTCTCAATTTTTCAAGTTTTCAATACTCAATTTTTCAGGATTTAAATATTGAGAACTTTTCAATTTCTGGATTTTCAATTTTCAGATATTTTGATTTTTTGACTTTTTAATGTTTCGATTTTTGGGTGTGTTGATTTTTCGATTTTTAAAGTTTTTTTTTTAACTAAGCAGCTATTATTTCACCAAGCATATATTATTTTTACTGAGAATTTATTTTTTAACTGAGCATTTATTATATAACTTGGCATTTATCATTTTTACCGAGCAAAAATACAGAGCGTTTAAAAATAGAACTGTGCATTTAATTTGTTCCCTTATCTAAATAACAACAAAACGGTATTAATAATACATTTAGGCGAATAAAGTAATAGACGGGCTTGATAAGCCAGGTAGATTTAAAGAAGAATTGCTGGTTGCGTTTAAGGCAACAAAAGGCGCCCAATTCAAACTTGTCTCTCGTCTCGCGTTCCCCCTTAAGAGGGTTTAAAAGACACTGTGTGCTTGCAGTGACGGAAAGAGTGCTATCTTGGAACGAGAGACCGTGGGAAATCATGAAGCAGCTGGGGAAAGACAGCATCAGGCAGATGGAGTTGATGAGGTTCTACTTGCAGCTGAAGCAAGACCCACACGGACCAAATTTAGCGTTATTTGTGGGCAATCTGCCGCCGAACCTTTCGGAGAGAAATTACGAGAACATCCTCACGGAGTTTCTAGGAAAAGGTACCCCGGCACGATTCGAGTATCCTGGGTTCATGATTCTTTTCGTTTCCAGAAAACAAATTCTCTAAAATTGGTCCCATCTACTACGAATACGGGTCTATGGTTATAACGTACGAGGATTCTGACAAGGCAGTCCGGGCGCTGTACACTCTTAGAGAATCAAAATTTGAAGACAAACACCTGCTAGGTGAGCCAGTCGATGGGTTGTAACTATATAATGACTTGTTGTACCTAGTGATGCTGCTACCAAACATCGAGCCGTCAATGACTCCCAACGGGGTGCAACCGCTTCTGGTCTTCGTCAACGTGAAATCTGGAGGTTGTCAAGGTCTGGAACTCATCTCCAGCTTCCGGAAGCTGTTGAATCCTTACCAAGTGTTCGACCTGGACAACGGCGGTCCTCTGCCCGGTCTGTACGTGTTTCGGAACATCCAGAACTACAAGATTCTGGTCTGCGGAGGCGACGGGACCATCGGTTGGGTACTGCAGTGTCTGGATAACGTGGGCCAAGACTCGCAGTGCTCTTCTCCGGCTTGTGCCATCGTTCCGCTGGGGACAGGTTTGTCTTCTTCGAGTCTTAAAACTGGCTTTGAAGATGATGGTTTGAGCGGATTGTGAGTGTATTTTTTGCAGGTAACGACTTGGCGAGGGTGCTAAGGTGGGGACCAGGTTATACGGGTGGCGAAGACCCATTGAACCTGTTGCGGGACGTGATAGACGCGGAGGAGATCCGGTTGGATCGGTGGACGGTGGTATTCCATCCAGAGGATAAGCCAGACGACAGCGTTAAGCAGGTCAACTCCACCGGTAAGAAGAGGCAAAAACTGTCCAAAATGAAAGTGACCAATGAGCAAATTAGAAAAGCAGGTCAATCATATGTGTTTATAGATGTTGTTTTGCTGTAATTGAGACTAACGGGTTTAACAATCAGTTGCGCGTAGTTCGTATGGCCATTGCCTGCTGAAATTTTAACTGTAGGTTTGTCCACCTACTTTTTCTGAAAGCAGGATGGAATAGCGCTCTTAGAGCTTGGCCACTCATTAATAAACCTACTTTAATAGTCAATCTTTAAACTGAACAATCCAACGGTGGTAACTGTGAGTATGACGTACAGTTTCACGTCGCACCTCCACGCCTAAAACCTGACTTAAATAAAGTACCTAAACAATCAACTAAAGCAGCTCCAACGTAGACTGATCACAGATAGATGCATGGCTTGGTTTAGTTTACGGCAAAACAACATTGTTATAAAAGATTGGTATAAAACAATTCTAGACGCTTTCTCAAAAAGTAGGTTGTCCAATTTTGCTTAAAATTTTACGGAAAACTATTGGCCCATCACGTAGTTCTGTGGGCGTTCAGCGACGCCTCAGACCCAAGTCGGGGCGTTCCTGGACGGCCCGGAAGCGCGATACATACAAGAGTTGACTCTTACCTGAACACTTACTACAGTTGTAGCAGGTTCGACGAGCGAGGACAACTCCCAAATCTTCGTTATGAACAACTACTTCGGAATCGGCATCGACGCGGATCTGTGCCTGGATTTTCATAACGCGCGAGAGGAGAACCCGAACAAGTTCAACAGTCGTTTGCACAACAAGAGCGTTTATGTCAAAATGGGGTTGCGGAAAATGGTGGGGCCAAAAATGTGCAAGGACTTGCACAAAGAAGTACGCTTAGAAGTGGACGGAAAACTCGTAGAACTACCTCAAGTGGAAGGCATCATCATTCTTAACATTTTAAGGTAATAACTGTCTTTTAAAAGACGCTTTAGGTACTAATCGTTGTTTGGGACAGTTGGGGGTCCGGGGCGAATCCGTGGGGCCCCGAGAAGGAAGACCAGTTTTCCAAGCCCAACCACTGGGACGGAATGCTGGAGGTCGTGGGCGTAACCGGGGTGGTCCATTTGGGGCAGATACAGTCGGGGCTACGATCGGCCATGCGGATTGCACAAGTACGCTTTAACCCATCTGGAATTCTTTTCTAAGTCCATGTTTGCAGGGTGGTCACATAAAAATCCATCTTCATTCAGACATTCCAGTCCAGGTGGATGGTGAACCATGGGTGCAAAGTCCCTGTGATGTTGTAGTGCTCAAGTCTGCTCTGAAGGTACGCCGACCTACTTAGCGATAGCAACTAGTATAGTTTGATTTTTCTCTCTACCGCTATTATTTTGTTTTAATGTAGTACTAGTGGTTTTTTTCAGTTCACGTTTTAGACAACTTACGATTTTTTTACACTATCGAAAACACCCATTAAAGAGTTTGTGTAATAATTTCTGTGGTAATCTATCTAAAGTTATCAGTTCGATTTTTAAGTGCGCAAAACGTAACTCATTTCCGATATAGCACAAACCTTCTTCTTACAGTACTGTAGCTAGCTGTACTCGTACAGATGCATGTAGTGCAAAGCATACCCCACCCTCCCCAGTACCACAGTCTACGCCAAACTGTCTTCACTAACTAATAAAACATTATTTAAACTTCATTACATCTCGTACTTTATTCCACCAAGGAACGACTTGAGTTCGAAAAAATATCGTTACACCTGGTGGAATAAAGAATAATCCTGAGCTAAAAGTGAGTCACGCGGGATCGTTATTATGTTTAAAAAACAACCGTTTATGAGGTGACTATTAATGTTTGTGGTTTTTATTGTTATGTTGGCAGCATTTTTAAAATTGACGTACTAGCAATAATTTAGAATTTTGTTGCTTCCATTATTAATAGTCACCCGATTAAACTTAATGGAAGTATTTTTTTTCCAAAACAGTGAAAATTACAAACTTATTAATAAGACATTTTAAATTTTCTACTGCTGACTCACAACTAAACACGTGCCATTAAAATTACTTGGGGTGGTCGAATTGTTGAATAAAGTTTGCAAAACCAAAAATTTCGGTTTAGTGTCAATGACGTACAGCGTGGTGTTTTTATCTTTTTTCACTGTGCGATCTCAGAAACCGTGAAGGATACAAAAGGGCTTATTTAAGTTGTTTTAATTCACAGTTGGCAACACTTTTGTATTTTATGTTTTCTCAGTTTCCAAATTATAATGGTGACGAAAGATAAATCCATCATCTCGTAGCGTGAGGGACAAAGAATTATCACGATGTAATTTTTAAACATTTGTAATTTTTAATTTTTTTCTAATTTAATAATTTGACGTTTGTTTTGAATCTTTCGAAGTAGAGTTAGCCATGAAAATCTAGTAAATTTGTTGGTAGTCGGTAAATAATAATCAAAATTCGCTAAATTTTCTAATAATAGTAATTACATAAAACAAAATACAAACTGTTCTTTATTTACCAACATCTCTAGCCAAGACTTACGCTTCAAGGTTATAAAAGAAAAAATTGGTCTAAAGTTGTTTCGACTGAACTTCCCTCGCTTCTGAAGTACAGTCCACCAAATACTGCTGGTCTGAAAGATTATTAAATTTAATTTTAGGGGAATTTTACTTGTTTGTGATCTCTATGGAGTAAAAACAATATAGAAGGTACTAGTCACAGCGTAACAGATAAAAAGGAGGTTTCACATTCTTAAATAAAATACACTTAAGGCCCCCGAGAAGGTTTCACATTCCTAAAAAAAGATACATTTGGGGCCCCCGAGAAGGTTTCACAATAAAAAAATGACATTTGGGACCCCCGAGAAGGTTTCACATTTTAAAAAAAGCCAGTTTGAAGTCCCGAGAAGGTTTCACAATAAAAAAATGACATTTGGGACCCCCGAGAAGGTTTCACATTTTAAAAAAAGACAGTTGGGACCACCGAGAAGGTTTCACAGACATTTGGCGCCCCCGAGAAGGTTTTACATTTTTAAAAAAGCCAGTTTGGACCCCCGAGAAGGTTTTGCAATAAAAAAAATGGCATTTGGGACCCCTGAGAAGGTTTCACATTTTAAAAAAAGACAGTTGGGACTACCGAGAAGGTTTCACAGACATTTGGCACCCCCGAGAAGGTTTCTCATTTTTAAAAACGCCAGTTTGCACCTCCGACAAGGTTTCACAATAAAAAAATGACATTTGGGACCCCTGAGAAGGTTTCACATTAAAAAAAAAGACAGTTGGGACCACCGAGAAGGTTTCACAGACATTTAGCGCCCCCGAGAAGGTTTCTCATTTTTAAAAAAGCCAGTTTGCACCTCCGACAAGATTTCACAATAAAAAAATGACATTTGGGACCCCTGAGAAGGTTTCACATTAAAAAAAAAGACAGTTGGGACCACCGAGAAGGTTTCACAGACATTTAGCGCCCCCGAGAAGGTTTCTCATTTTTAAAAAAGCCAGTTTGCACCCCCGACAAGGTTTCACAATAAAAAAATGACATTTGGGACCCCTGAGAAGGTTTCATATTTTTAAAAAAAGACAGTTGGACCACCGAGACGGTTTCACAAACATTTGGCGCCCCCGAGAAGGTTTCTCATTTTTAAAAAAGACAGTTGGGACCTCCGACAAGGTTTCACAACAAAAAAAATGACATTTGGGACCCCTGAGAAGGTTTCACATTAAAAAAAAAGACAGTTGGGACCACCGAGAAAGTTTCACAGACATTTGGCGCCCCCGAGAAGGTTTCTCATTTTTTAAAAAGCCAGTTTGGACCCCAGAGAAGGTTTCACAATAAAAAAATGACATTTGGGACCACTGAGAAGGTTTCATATTTAATAAAAGACAGTTGGGACCACCGAGAAGGTTTCACAGACATTTGGCGCCCCCGAGAAGGTTTCTTATGTTTAAAAAAGCCAGTTTGGACCCCCGACAAGGTTTCACAATAAAAAAATTACATTTGGAACCCCTGAGAAGGTTTCACATCAAAAAAAAAGACAGTTGGGACCACCTAGAAGGTTTCACAGACATTTAGCGCCCCCGAGAAGGTTTCACATTTTTAAAAAAGCCAGTTTGGACCCCCGAGAAGGTTTCGCAATAAAAATATGACATTTGAGACCCCTGAGAAGGTTTCACATTTTAAAAAAAGACAGTTGAGACCACCAAGAAGGTTTCACAGACATTTGACGCCCCCTAGAAGGTTTTTCATTTTTAAAAAAGCCAGTTTCGACCCCGAGAAGGTTTCACAATAAAAAAATGACATTTGGGACCACCGAGAAGGTTTCACATTTAAAAAAAGACAGTTGGGACCACCGAGAAGGTTTCACAGACATTCGGCGCCCCCTAGAATGTTTCTCAGTTTTAAAAAAAGCCAGCTTGGACCCACCAGGAAGGTATCACGATAAAAAAATGACACTTGGGACTCCCGAGAAGGTTTTACATTTAAAAAAAGAGAGTTGGGACCACCAAGAAGGTTTCACAGACATTTGGCGCTACCGAGAAGATTTCTCAGTTTTAAAAAGGCCTGTATGGACCCCCGAGAAGGTTTCGCAATAAAAATATGACATTTGGGACCCCCGAGAAGGTTTCACATTTAAAAAAAGACAGTTGGGACCACCGAGAAGGTTTCACAGACATTCGGCGCCCACGAGAATGTTTCTCAGTTTTAAAAAAGCCAGTTTGGACCCCCGAGAAGGTTTCACGATAAAAAAATGACACTTGGGACTCCCGAGAAGGTTTTACATTTTTTAAAAAAGCCAGTCTGGACCCCCGAGAAGGTTTCACAATAAAAAAAAATCCATTTGGAACCCCTGAGAAGGTTTCACATTAAAAAAAAAGACAGTTGGGACCACCTAGAAGGTTTCACAGACATTTAGCGCCCCCGAGAAGGTTTCACATTTTTAAAAAAGCCAGTTTGGACCCCCGAGTAGGTTTCGCAATAAAAATATGACATTTGGGACCCCTGAGAAGGTTTCACATTTTAAAAAAAGATAGTTGGGACCACCAAGAAGGTTTCACAGACATTTGACGCCCCCGAGAAGGTTTTTCATTTTTAAAAAAGCCAATTTCGACCCCGAGAAGGTTTCACAATAAAAAAGTGACATTTGGGACCACCGAGAAGGTTTCACATTTAAAAAAAAGACAGTTGGGACCACCGAGAAGGTTTCACAGACATTTGACGCCCCCGAGAAGGTTTCTCATTTTTAAAAAAGCCAGTTTGAACCCCGAGAAGGTTTCACAATAAAAAATGACATTTGGGACCCCCGAGACGGTTTCACATTTAAAAAGAGACAGTTGGGACCACCGAGAAGGTTTCACAGACATTTAGCGCCCCCGAGAAGGTTTCTCATTTAAAAAAAAAAACAGTTTGGACCCCCGAGAAGGTTTGACAATAAAAAAAATGACATTTGGGACCCCCGAGAAGGTTTCATATTTTTAAAAAAAGACAGTTGGACCACCGAGACGGTTTCACAAACATTTGGCGCCCCCGAGAAGGTTTCTCATTTTTAAAAAAGACAGTTGGGACCCCGAGAAGGTTTTACAATTAAAAAATATATACTTGGGACCCTCGAGAAGGTTTCACATTAAAAAAAAAATAGTTGGAATCCTCGAGAAGGTTTCACAATAAAAAAAGACATTTGACACCCCCGAGGTTTTTCATTTTTGAAAAAGACAACTGGAAACCCCAAGAAGGCGTATTCCCACCTTTTCAAGAAAGTGGGGTAATTTCATCAATAAAAAATTTGTCATAAGGTCATAAACATGGATAATACACAATGCGAAAGAAAAAGAGAAAAAAAAACGAAAGGCAAAGTGTGAAATCGAACCTCCGACGTCCGGTCCGCCTTCCTGACTCGTAACCACTAGACCACACTAATGGTAAACCGTGCATACAGACAGTTATGGAAAAACTCAAAGCGGATTCGTACATCACACTTACATGTTGTATAGGTAACAGTTAAATTAAGCAAACATTGAATTCTTTGAAATGACGTCATCAAAGTATTGGTAGGGACAATTATCAAAATTTTGGTTAGCATTTAACCATCTACATGATAATTCTAATATACATACAAAATTTGACAACAATCGGTCCAGCAGTTTCGGAAATTACGTGTCTAATAAAAATGGATACAGACATCAGACAGACAGACAGACAGACAGACAGACGGGAACGGGGGACTTCTTTTTTCGTACTCTAGGGGTCATGAAACGTCGAGAAAATATAAAAGTGGCCATTCGTCCGATGGAAAATAAAGACCGGAAAAAACCGGTCATGAATGGAAAGCAGTGGAGCTGAACGATAAAAGTGTGGAAGAAAAACAAAACAGACTCTTTGAACGACTAAAATCGCCAATCAAATGAAAAATATGGGAATATTTGTCTATAGTCAAATTTAAGTTGCCTTCAATGAATCTTTTAAATCAAGCACCACATTTCATTGGTGGAATTCACGACACCAAATTTAAAATGTGACAAAATCGGCACAAATGATTCATCGTTACCAACCTAAATTTGGACAAATATTACCACGTTTTTCTGGACACCGAAAAACAATTTTGAGTGGAGTTTACCAATAAAAATACAAAATTCAAGAAAATATCACTAACTACAGAACGTATTATAGTTCGTTTACCGAACAGATGGAGTGGTCACGTGTTTACAAATACACCGTCTGTTCCTTGTTTTTGAAAAATAACATACAGTATAATTTAAAATGTTTTTCATAAGGGGTCAGCATGGAAAACAAAAAAGTACAAAACTATTACCCTTGCCTGCGAAAAGTCCTGATCTTAATCCTATTGAAAATGTGTGGGACAATATTGTTGGCGAAGTTTGTAAAAGTGGAAGCTTGGACTAACTATACATCGATTATCTCCTGCATTTAGTCGATTCGATGAAAAAATGGATGTATACAATCATTCAAGCCAGTAGAAGCTATACCGGGTGTCTGGAAAATAGCGGATTAACTCTTCAGTACGTTATAAAATAATTAAAAAATTCTTCATGATGTAGATTACAAAAAAACAGTAATTTTATAAAAGTAAAATAAACATAAACTAATTTTAGCAACTATTAGCCCCGCCTACCCTCTCTTTTCTTAGAGGGTATGTCATTTGCCAAAATCGAGCTTATTTTAGAAGGTACTAATCCCGCCCACCCGCCCTCTATTTTCTTACAGAGATCTCGTCTGCCCAAGTCAGCCTTATCGTAGCAGGTACTAGCCCCACCCACCCACCCTCTCTTTTCTTACAGGATATGTCATCTGCCAAAATCGATCTTATTTTAGCAGCTACTAACCCCGCCCACCCGCCCTCTATTTCCTTAGAAGGATCTCTTTTGCCAAAATCAGTCTTACCTTGGCAGGTACTAGGCCCGCCCACCCACCCTCTATTTCCTTAGAGGGTATTTCATTTGCCAAAATCAGTTTAATCTTGCTAAAGTTTTGGCAACTGAAATCTCTCTAAGAAAATAAAGGGCGGTGGGCGGGGTTAGTTCTTGCTAATCTAAAACCGATTTTGGTAAATGATACCCTCTAAGAAAAGAGAGGGTGGGTGGGTGGGGCTAGTTCCTGCTAAGATGAGTGATTTTGGCAAATGAGATACCTTCTGAGAAAAGAGAGGGCGGGTGGGTGGGGCTAGTACCTGTTAAGACTGATTTTGGCCAATGACATATTCTTTGAGAAAAGAGAGGGCGGGTGGGTGGTTGGGGCTAGTACCTGTTATGATAAGACTGATTTCAGCAAATCACGTATCCCCTAAGAAATTTAATTAAATTATTATAAGGAGACAAGATTGTTTTGAATTTTTCAAAAAAAAACGGGGTTCCTAAATTCACTCAAAAACAGGTCAGGCCAAAATTTTTCAAAAATAGTACACCAAAGTCCGCCAAAATTGTTTTAAAAAAATCTCCATGGTCTGCTAAAATATTAATTGATTTAGTAAATTTTTGTGTCGGCAATTCTGAATTATTGGCAGCACTGTTACCATATACGCTTTGACAGGAGTTCACACACCTTACAAGTGTAATGAGAAGATAAATTTCATTTTGACAGTCAGGTGTGCCCTCATAAAATTTTAAATATGCTGCCAACCTGACAAAAAAATCACAATCATTAACAGTGACCCGGTATTTTGCCAAAGAAGAATTTCTTCTTATATTTTCTCTTCTCTTTTAATAGACGATACCAAGTTATTATTTTTATGGTGATAATGTTTGTCCCTCACTTACGTCGCCGAATCGGTTGAAGGTAAAACATGCACGGTAATTTAATTAAGAAACGTGTAATTGAAAGTTTCAAAATTGCATTGTAGCACAAAATTAGCCCTCAAAATTTGCACAAACTCGAATAATGAAAAGTGACTTAAAAAAACTAGAAAGAGAAGCAAACATGTATAGTCGATTTCGGATGAATGTGCATCGTGGTTGGCCTTGACACGTTGGAGTTTACGTTGGTATTAAAGAAATGTCCCTGCTAGTCTGTCAGATTTACTACTAAACTAACGTGCGTTCACACGTGTAAAGCCAACCTGACGCAAATTTATTTGAAAACCGTTTGAATGTTTGTTTCTTTGTCTGTAAATAACTAGTGACGTTTGAAATTGGATTTGTCCCCGCATCTGACAGTAGCATTTGTTAATTTGGACTAAGCGAAAATGACGAGACCTTAGCTGGCCCCCGCGACGTGGCCGCCTCCTTCGGGAGCGGCGGCGTGGCGGCGGCGTTTTAAACTGACAAAAGCCCGCAAGACGGTACTACCCGCTGTTGAGTGTGTCACCAACCTTCTTGTATAGCGTAATAGTTAATGGAAATTCGTTGATGCAGGCGACCATGCTGAAGAAAAATAAGTTCAAGCGTCGGCCTACAGAACCGAACATTCTTCCTGCCAATGGGGAGGGGGGCAAGAGCACCGATGACTAGACCCACCCCGTTCCATTAAACACACCACTCTCTCACAAACTCGACTGTGTTTTCTAAAGTTTCCATCATTTATGTTCGTTGGCATGTACAATATTTTGCTTGTTCGTCATGTACTGGTTGCTTTTTCAGTTGATTCAGTAGCGAGTTGATTGACCGTTTGCCATTCGTTGAATTAATGAGTGTTTGTGTGTGCGCCCCTCCCCAGGCCACCATGCTGAAGAAAATGAAGGGCAAAATGAAGAGGCGCAACACGGAACCGACGATGCTCGTGTCCCCCGGGGCCCAGCTCGCTCCGTTGCCCTCCAACGACGGCGAATCTCCCACGGACCCGTCAAACACCACCTTCTAATCCCCTCAGTGTTGTCTCAGTTTTTCGTGTTTTATTAGACAGTCTCCCAGGGCATGGGTTTTTCTTTCTCTTGCATTTACGAAACGTATTACATAAAATGTATAATTAACGGTAAACTGTAATAATTATTACGTTCAGTATGGTATCATTACCAGTCAGTGGTGAATTCTTATTATTAGTGTCGCGGCGAATGCCCGTTGAGTTTATTTTTCGTTCCTCATAGTTTATTTACTAGTACAAGTCATGTACTGTAGATCTGTTGTAGTTTTCTAAAGTTTATTTACCGAAAGAACAAAAAAATAAATAAAATAAAATAATAATAATAATAAGTAGAGTCCGGGGGGCGAGAGCGCCCCCGGCTCCGTGCATCCCACCGCTGCACGAGTGAGAAATACTCACACGTCTCTCAGATATATATATATATAAAAATACAAAAAAAAGTATATATATATTAAAAAAAGACGACTCGTGGGTCGTCAGGGGGCTTCCACCCCCACTGGCATGTCCTTGGTCGGCTACGTCACTGGAAGGCGCCTCCCGGCTACGGCTAGGCAACCCAAAAGGGACGATCTGCGTGCGACCAATGAAGACTGGTGTGAAGTGCGAGTGAGAGGCTAGATAGAGGATATAGATAGATAGATAGAGGTGAGCGTTCTTCGGCACGTTCTTCGGCTATCCGGGAGGCTGGATTCCACCACTGGCCGACCGCCGAAGCGGCAACGTAGGTTATGCAATTCTAGTCACCCTTTCCCTGGAGCGCAGCCGCGAGTAAGGTGGCAGGAACTGTAGGCTCAGGTGGCGGCGTTAGGTCTCTCTATCCAGGAAGCGACACGTTAACGCCGTCGTTAATCTGCCGGGACGCAAGGGGCTCAGTTTTTCACGGGTTGCCGCCTGGAGCCCGCCCGTGATTAATATGCGTTTTGGTAGATTTACGAAACGACAGTACCATAGTTTAGCTCTTATCTTATTACTACATTGATGTGCTATGTTTGTAATTATATTTCCCAAACGTATGTAATTATAGAAATGGTCAGAACCGTTACGTCTGTTCCATCTAGCGGAAAAACTTCACCTTACTTTTATCCGCAAGGGTGATCCGAGGTCTTAGATAACACACGTTTCGAATATCTGCCCTGGACATTCCCAAGATTCGCCTGAGATGAGGTTTTTCTGTTAACACATAAGATATATTATAATTATATGTATATGTGATCATAGATATATTAAAAATTGTGAAATATAGAAATATTAAATGTATTCATTTGTTTCTTTATTTTTTATCATGGCCGAGTTCAACTGAGGACATGTGCTGGAGAATAGTCAATCAGAACATAACTAACATACATACAAAGACTATTATGAATATATCTATATTAATATAATTATTTCGCTAGTTACTTCAAACTGGTTGTCTTGTTTATGTACCGCTCGACAATGAATGTAATACGAGTATGTAATAAAAGTAAGATGTTCGTTCGTTAGATGCAGCCAAAACTTGTATAAACCTCATCAAAATATTTTGTTTCAACAGAGATAAATGATCACAAATACAGACGAGTCTGATTATTACCATCCCTTCCCTAAACGCATCAACAATCACAACAATCTCTCTCTACTCAATTATACCATCAAAAATAACACAAAGTACAACTGAAAAGACTAAAAGAATGACTTAATGACAATACTTCCACTAGATATGGTATTGTCTCCTAAAATTCCAGCTATAGTAAAACGTCTTGAACCAGCATGTTTCTAATACCTGCCACTATCAAACAAAAGCAGAATATTGAAGTTGATCAAAACAATTAAGTATTTATTAAATGTCAAATTGACACGAAAAGTCTTGACTAATGTTATCTCCCCTAGAAGGACACGGGCAGTGAGAATCGTTTAGGGAACGTGGAAGTGTTCTAAGAAGTGCAGCTAGTGGAAAACAAAAAAAAAACTGTTTTCGTAGCAAAAGAAACTTTAATCAAAGCTAGTACAATAACTACCATTAGTGAAACAAATAAATTATGTTTTTGGAATCGTTCGTTATTTCAAAATTTAAACATGTTAGGATAATAATTAATTATCTTACATACTCTATATACATATAAACTCCTTTGATGTTCTTCTTTCTTGCTTTCTCCACCTGAAAATCTTCTCGAGCCGCCACTGGCGACAGCATAGATTCTTCCAACTAATGCTATATTTTCAGCACCTTTTTTTTGTGTAAAATTGGTAGACCTGTCACTCCGCCTTACTTACTGCTGTCAAAATTGACGTGATTGACACTTGACAGTTACATTTAATTTACGTAAAAATTTAAACTTCAAATGTTACAATATGACATTTGGCGTACCAATTCCGACGAAAATCTCCAAAATTAAAAAAAAATCCTATTTTTGTTTAAAAATGGGAAAAAGGTGCGATTTTAACACGCTCATTCTTTGGAGCACTCGTTTAACTACTCGTTCTCTAACTTTGGGGTTCGTGCTCTAAAATAATATCTTATGAAACTTGCTTCTTAACATGTAGTCGCAGCAAAACTCAACGAGAAGGAAACGTCATTTGCTTCAACATTTTCAGGAAATTCGTATATTACAAGCTATACATCGACGTGATTTTAGCCACAACTAAATTTGACAAAAATTTAGGTTAGGTGTCACTTGTTATCACTCTATTTTGACACTTAAATCCAGTAGCTAAAGTTTCAAAATTTTCACAAATCAAGTGTAGGCTATTAGTGCGAATCCACTTTGTGGTTAAGTTTTGTCTCCTCACTTATCAACATTTAGCGCTATGTCACTTTTAAGCGTTCAAGAAACTTTGGTTAATGATAATCAATAACAAATTTTGACGCTAATTAAATGTCACTGTCAAGAGTGTCAACCATGTCACTTTTGACAACAGGAAGTGAAATGGAATGACAAGTCTACCAATTCATGGATACCAACTGAAACTGAAATTGAATTGCACTAGAATTAACCAATTCTGAGGGAATTTTCTTGCTCTGTTATTGCCCGACCTGATTAAAATATTTGGCGCTATGTCACTTTTAAGCGCTCACAAAAACTTTGGTTAATTATAATCAATAACAAATTTTGACGCTAATTAAATGTCACTGTCAACCATGTCAGTTTTTACAACAGTATAGCCCCTAGAAATACATAGTACCGTCATCCATTGTTGTACGAGTGGAGCAAATGCAGTTGGTAACCCAAAAAATTCCCCTGGTTTGGAACCAAATTGTGTCAGCAGAGAGTTGACAGCGCGTAAACCGTTGTTGTCACGTGCTCTTTTTGTTTAAAGTCAATTAATTGTCAATTAATGTAACTAATAATTATTAAATACGATTTTATTGATTAAATTTTATATTTTATTCAAATTAAAAATCCATATTTTATATATAAACTACAAACTTTAAATCCAACATAAAACTATTTTAAATTTGCGGTCTGTCAAATGGTGTTAATAATTTTTGTTTTTATTAAGTTTCCGTCAGGTTTGCTCCACGGTGACGATACTATGTGTTTTCTAGGGGCTATAGACAACAGGAAGTGAAATGGAGTGACAAGTCTACTAATTCATGGATACCAACTGAAACTGAAACTCAGTTAGTACTAGAATAACCAATTCTAAGGGAATTTTCTTACGCTGTTATTGCCAGATCTGATTCAAATATTTGACGCAACGTCATTTTTAAGCGCTCAAGAAACATTGGTTAATGATAATAATCAATACCAATTTTTGACGTTAATTAAATTTCACTGTCAACCATGTCAGTTTTGACAACAGGAAGTGAAGTGGAGTGACAGATCTATGAATTCATGGATACCAACTGAAACTGAAACTGAATTGACACTAGAATTAACCAATTCTGAGGGAATTTTCTTACACTGTTATTGGCAGACTTGATTCCAATATTTGGCGCTATGTCACTTAAAGCATTCAAGAAACTTTGGTTAATGATAACCAATACTAATTTTGACGCAAATTAAATGTCACTGTCAACCTTGTCAGTTTTGACAACAGGAAGTGAAATGGAGTGACAGGTCTACCAATTTCAAGCAAAATTCATGAATACCAACTGAAACTGAAACTGAATTGGCAATAGAATTAACCCATTCTGAGGGAATTCTCTTACGCCGTTATTGCCAGACCTGATTCCAATATTTAGCGCTATGTCACTTTAAGCACTCAAGAAACTTTGGTTAATGATAACCAATACCAAATTTTGACGCAAATTAAAAGTCACTGTTAACCTTATCAACAGGAAGTGAAATGGAGTGGCAGGTCTACCAATTTCAATCAAAATTCATGAATACCAATTGAAACTGAAACCGAATTGGCAATAAAATGAACCAATTCTGACGGAATTTTCTTACGCTTATATTGTCAGACCGTATCCCAATATTTGGAACTACCTATGTCACTTTTAAGCGCTCAAGAAACTTTGGTTAATGATAATCAATACCAAATTTTGACGCAAATTAAATGCCACTGTCAACCATGTCAGTTCTGACAACAGGAAATAAAATGGAGTGACAGATCTACGAATTCATGGATACCAACTGAAACTGAAACATGACTGAAACTGAATTGACACTAGAATTAACCAATTCTGAGGGAATTTTCTTACATTGTTATTGGGAAGACCTGTATCCAATATTTGGCGCTATGTCACTTTAAAGCACTCAAGAAACTTTGATTAATGATAACCAATACCAAATTTTGACGCAAATTAAATGCCACTGTCAACCATGTCAGTTCTGACAACAGGAAATAAAATGGAGTGACAGGTCTACGAATTCATGGATACCAACTGAAATTGAACATGACTGAAACTGAATTGACACTAGAATTAATCAATTCTGAGGGAATTTTCTTACATTGTATTGGCAGACCTGATTCCAATATTTGGCGCGATGTCACATAACGTCGCTCAAGAAAGTTTGATTAATGATAACCAATACAAAATTTTGACGCAAATTTAATTGTCACTGTCAACCTTGTCAGTTTTGACAACAGAAAGTGAAATGGAGTGACAGGTCTACGAATTCATGGATACCAACTGAAACTGAAACATGACTGAAACTGAATTGACACTAGAATTAACCAATTCTGAGGGAATTTTCTTACACTGTTATTGGAAGACCTGATTCCAATATTTGGCGCTATGTCACTTTTAAGCACCCAAGAAACTTTGATTAATGATAATCAATACCAAATTTGGACGCAAATTGAATGTCACTGTCAACCTGGTCAGTTTTGACAACAGGAAGTGAAATGGAGTGACACATCTACCAATTCATGGATACCAACTGAAACTGAAACTAAATTGACACTAGAATGAATTAACCAATTCTGAAGGATTTTTTTTTACGCTGTTATTGCCAGACCTGATGAAAATACTGGACGTAGTGTCACTTTTAAGCGCCCAAGAAACTTTGGTTAATGATAATCAATACCAAATTTTGACGGAAATTGAATGTCACTGTCAACCATGTCAGTTTTGACAAGAGAAAGTGAAATGGAGTGACAGGTCCTCGAATTCATGGATACCAACTGTTGACAGGTGCATGTTTGGCGCCACAATTTGAATTTCTGTATTTAGGAACTTTTAAGTAACTGGTGTAAGGATGCCCTGTGATCGCCACCAATGAAATTACTTCCCTCTCTGATATACGTTCCGTCACAGAAGAAGATGTAACGGGTGAACGGCTAAAATCTGTTTCTTACTAATATATTGTTTTACAATTCACTGCCTCTGATCATTATCACCAACTGAAACTGAAACTAAATTGGCACTAGAATTAAGGAATTCTGAGGGATTTTTTACCGCTGTTATTGCTAGACCTTATTAAAATATTGGGTGCAATGTCACCTTTAAGCGCTCAAGAAACTTTGGTTAATGATAATCAATAACAAATTTTGACGCAACTTAAATGTCACTGCCAATCATATCAGTTTTGTGAAATGGAGTGACGGGTCTTACCAATTCATGGTTACCAACTGAAAATGAAACTGAAGTTGCACTAGAATTAACCAATTCTGAGGGAATTTTCTTACACTGTTATTGGCAGACCTGATTCAAATATTTGAAACTATGTCACTTTTAAGCCCTCAAGAAACTTTGGTTAATGATAATCATTACCAATTTTGACGCAAATTCAATGTCACTGTCAACCTTGTCAGTTTTGACAACAGGAAGTGAAATTGGGTAACAAGTCTACCAATTCAGGGATACCAACTGAAACTGAAACAGAATTAGCAATAAAATTAACCACTTCTGAGGAAATTTTATTACCAGAGCTGATTAAATGATGTAATGCGATGTGAATGAAATTAATGATCTTATACTGAACAGAAATAAAACTAGTCGCCAGAATGAGAAGAGGGGGGAGGGTGGGCGGGCCTAGTATTTGCTAAGGCAAGACTGATTTGGGCAAATGGCATACCTTCCAAGAAAGTAGAGGGCGGGTGGGCGGGGCTAGTATTTGCTAAAATAAGACTGATTTTAGCACTTTTGACATTTTCCACCATTTTTCAACTATTTCCGAAAATTAGTTGAAGACATTTTCTTGTCGGTTTGGATATCCAAAAGTAATTTTCTTCGGAAATTCTTATCGTTTTTCTAAAATCGCTAATTGAAATACAGATATTTTTAAAGTTCCGTCAAAATCGATCGGTGTAAAATTTTTGTTTGACATCCCCTCTAAGAAAATAGCAGGTGGGTGGGCGGAGCTAGTATTTGATAAGTTAAGACTGATTTTGACACTTGACATTTTCGACCATTTATCAAATTTTCGAAAATTAGTTGAAGACATTTTCGGCTTCGTTTATTATATAAGTTTCCACTCCCAATCGACAGAAAAACATAATTAGCCCCACCCACCCACCCTGTCTCCTTCTCAGTGATTAATTTGATCCGATCTGAATGAAATGAATGATCTTATACTGAATGGAAATAAAATTAGTCACCAGAGTGAGAAGAGGGAGGGTGGGCGGGTCTAGTACTTACTAAGGGAAGACTGATTTTGGCAAATAACATATCTCCCAAAAAAAAAAGAGGGCGGGTGGGCGGGAACACTCTTTGCCAAGATAAGACTGATTTTGGCAAATGATATACTCGCTAAGACAATAAACAGTGTTACCTATATCACTACCATAATAAAATCGACATTTTGAAATTTGAATTAAATGTCACTCTCAATCATGTCTGTTTTGACAACAGGGAGTGAAGTTGTGTGACAAGTCTACCAATTTCAAGCAAAATTCATGAATACCAACTGAAACTGAAACTGAATTGGCAATAAAATGAACCAATTCTGAGGGAATTTTCTTATGCTGTTGTTGCCAGACCTGACTAAAATATTTGTGTATATTCCATAAAAATAGCACAATTTTTTCCAACAGTAGTATTTTAAATTGGTGCAATCATATCGAAATTCATCTCATTTCTAATGATAACCCAATTTTATGGGAATGGATAGGCAACCAACATTACACATTCTGTCAAGGGTCCACACAAGGGTCTTAGGTCAACCTTCCCTACTAAATTACGTCTCACGTCTTAGCAGTTTGTAAAATAGTCCGATATTTTCACCACAAAACAAATTTTTTGACAGGTTAGAGACATATTTGATATTTTATGATGGTATATCTGACTGTCAAATTGTCATTTTCTCATCACGTTTGTAACGCGCGCTCTTTTCAAAGTTGACAACTACTGAACTGATAGTGCTACCAATAATTCAGGATTGCCAACATAAAAATCGTTATTATAAGACCCTGTTTCGTTACAAAACAAAGCTTAAGCAGGACTTTCCAGCATCTGAAAAGGAACAATTCTCACTTTATTAAAAAACAGTTTTATTAAAAAATATTACATAATAAATAGATAAAATATAAATAAAGTTTTAAATATATTAATCTTTAATATTGCAACAATTTTGTAACTAAATTAGTTATGTAAAAGCAGTCTATTGTAAACACATAAGACAAAATATGTGCAAACTATTTGGCACAAGGCATGAATGTAAAAAACCATGTGGAAGACAAATAAAAAAAAGTAACCCACGACTTCTAAATACGTATAACGGCCTCGCCTTCCTCGAGAAAAAACTCTACCTATTCAAAGATCACAACATCAAAAAAACCCTACTCAAACTCAGCTACTCTAGTCGACTCTTAAAAATTGAAAAACCTATAACTCTATATCACCATATAAAAACACGAATCGGTATAAAAACGTAGCACCATCTTGTAGGCACAATACTGAATTTTAAACTTGAAAAATCGCGTCCTCCTCGAGCAGGTGAGTCGCGTTGCTCGCGGCCTTCGCGTGATTCGATTCGCTCGTCGACTCGCTCGACGACGCGTTCTTCACCCGCTCGTAGCCCGGCACCTCCGAGTCCGTCTCGGTCAGGTGCTCGTACGGCGGGCCCGAGCGCTGCGACCTGCCGTCCCCGTTCGAGCTCTCCGACGTGTCGATGTTCTCGTACCCCCTGAGATCCCGCTCCTTGGAGTCGTCGTTCATGCGCTCGTACGGCGGCTCCTCCAGCTCCCGCACGCTCTCGTAGTTCGGGTTGACCGACTCGTAGTTCGGGTCGGACTCGCTGCCCGACTTCAAGGCCGCGTAGTTGTGCTCGGAGCTCAGCGATTCGCTCGGCATGCTCTCGTAGTTGGGCTCGTCCAAGCTGAACTCCTGCGAGTTGCTGCCGTAGCTGCTCGACGTCCTGGACTTGTCGTCGCTCTTACTGGCCTTGTGGACGACGGAGTAGCCGTCGGGGGCGGCGTTGTTGTACTTGACCTTGGAGTAGCCGGCGCAGTCGCTCGCGTTGGAGTTCCGGTGCTGCAGCTCCTCGTAGTTGGGGTCCACCTCCGGGAGCGGCCTCTGCTTCAGGACTTCGTACCCCGGGTCGGAGCTGGTGATGCTCTCGGGACCGTTAATACTGGCATACCCCGGCTCCTCGTGCCGGATTTTCTCGTACCCCGGGTCACTACAATCCCGATTCATCTTCCTCAAGGTTTCATAATTATGTTCCTTGTGTCTTTGTTCTTGAATTTTTCGTTCTTCAGACGAACTACAACTGGACACCGACTTTCTACTGGTGTTATCCCCGTTTCTTTTCCCCTTTTCCGGCGTCTTCTCCCCATCCGACTCCTCCTTCTTTTTGTTTTTATGCACTTTTGCATATAAATCGTCGACGTTTCGTTGTACTTGAAAATCGTAACTCAAACCTGGCGGTGGTGGGGGCAGTGGTGAGTTAGCTTGGCGTTTCTCGGGTTTGGGGGACCCTATATTGGCGATGGAACTTGAAGATGACGCTAACAGAAACACGTTGGTGACAAAATCTAGCTCGTTTTTGGTTTTACCTTGTCTGGAGTGCGAGTGGCCGCCTCCTTGTTTGAAGGTGGTGTTGAGGGGCGGCGGTTGGGGGATGGGTTCGTAGAATTCGTTTTCCGTGGACCTGCTGGGGGCAGGGTTGACTTCGGCTTCCACGGTAATGGGGTGGGCGGGGATTCGGGCGTACGTTTCGCTTTCGCTAGTGTAAATTTGGTTGTTTGGGTCCGGGATTGTGGTGTATACATCGTCTGGGGATTAAACGTCATTGTTTTACACTACAATCTGACGTAATTTGATGTCTGTAGTGGGTTATCTTAAGTGGTTCGAGAGGTTAGCGGTTACCTATCCCAGTTATCTCCAAATTTTGCTATCTTAATACTTTTTGAGTGAAATTACACAAAAATGGTGATAATGTAGCCAAATATACTTATTTACAAAGAACGAGATTGTGTAAATATCAAATAGTTTTTATTTATACAGTTTAAAAATAACTTGATTTTCTGAAATAAAATTTCACAAGTTGGTATAAATATTTCGTACATGAAGTAAGAAATTGAAATTCTGTAAACGCTATTGTGTTGATTTTTTTCTGCGTCTGCTAATGTTCCCGACTAAAGAACAAAAATTTTAAAAATTGAAAATTTGAAACACCGAACAATCTAAAACTGAGAAATCGAAACATCAAAAAATTGAAAAATTGAAACATTGAAAAACTGAAAATTTGTAGAGTCAAAGAAAAACGGGAAAACCCAAAACTGAATTATCCGAAAAATCTATAAATCGAAGAATTGTGAAATCAAAACATCAAAATATCGAAAAACCGAAAAACTGAAAAATAAAAAATAGAAGAATTGAATAACTAAAAAATCAAAATAGAAAAAAGAAAAATTGAGCAATCGAAAAATCAAAAAAATTGAAAAACGGGAAATCGAAAATTCGAAAAACTGAAAAATCGGGAAGTCTAGAAATTGAAAAATTAAAAAAATGAAGAACTAAAAAACATAAAATTTCAAAAATCGAAAAATTGTATAATCGAAAAACCGGGAAATCAAGAAATCGCAAAATCGAAAAATTGAAAAACCAAAGGAAAAGTCGAAATATCAAAAAATCGAGCAATCAAAGAAACAAACACTGAAAAAACAAAAAATTAAAATATCGAAAAATTAAGAAATCTAAAAATACGAAGAGAAATCTGTAAATCGAAAAATCAAGAAATAGAAGAAACTTAAAATTCGAAAAATAAAAAATTGAAAAACTAAAAAATGTAAAATTTCAAAATTCAAAAAATCAAAAATTCGATAAGTCGAACAATGCAAAAAGAGGAAAATCAAAAAATTGAGAAATTGGGAAATCGAAACTTCAAAAATAGAAAAATGGAGAGATCAAGACATGGAGGAATCGAAAAATGAAAAAATTGGAAAATTTAAAAATTCAAAAATCGAGATCTCAAAAAATCGATAAATTGAAGAAACGAAAAACTGAAAAATCAAAATAGAAAAAAGAAAAATCGGTGAATTAATGAAGTGAAAAATATAAAAAAATGTAAAATTGAGCAACCGAAAAATCAAAAAAATTGAAAAACTGCGAAAACGGGAAATCGAAAATTCGAAAAATTGGAAAATCGAGGATTTGAAAAATCGAGAAACCGAAACAACAAAAAAATCGAAAAATCGGGAAGTCTAGAAATTGAAAAATTAAAAAATTGAAAAACCAAAAAACATAAAAATTCAAAAATCGAAAAATTGTACAATCGAAAAACCGGGAAACCAAGAAATCGCAAAATCGAAAAATTGAAAAATCGAAGAAAAAGTCAAAAAATTTTAAAATTCATAAATTGAAATATCGAAAAATCGAGCAATCGAAGAAACAAAAAATTAAAATATCGAAAAATTAAGAAATCTAGAAATACGAAGAGAAATCTGTAAATCGAAAAAACAAGAAATAGAACAAACTGAAAATGCGAAAAATAAAAAATTGAAAAACTGAAAAATGTAAAATTTCAAAAATTCGATCAATCCAAAAAGAAGAAAATCAAAAACTTAAGAAATTGGAAAATCGAAACTTCAAAAATAGAAAAATCGAGATATCTAGACATGGAGGAATCGAAAAATGGAAAAATAGGAAAATTTAAAAATTCAAAAATCGAGATATCAGAAAATCGATAAATTGAAGAAACGAAAAACTGAAAAATCAAAATAAAAAAAAGAAAATCGGATAATAAATGAAGTGAAAACTATAAAAAACGAAAAATTGAAAAATTGAGCGATCGAAAAATCAAAAAAATTGAAAAATCGAGGAATTGAAAGATCGAGAAACTGAAACAACAAAAAAATCGAAAAATCGGGTAGTCTAGAAATTGAAAAATTAAAAAATTGGAAAACTAAAAAACATAAAATTTCAAAAATCGAAAAATTGTATAATCGAAAAACCGGGAAATCAAGAAATCGCAAAATCGAAAAATTGAGAAACCGAAGGAAAAGTCGAAAAATTTTAAAATTTGAAAATTTGAAAAATTGAAAAATTTAAAATGGGAAAATCTAAATTTTAAAATATCGGAATTCAAAAATCGAGAAATCGAAAAATCAAAACATGCAAAAATTGAAAAATCAAAAACTTGAAGATGGAAAAATTGAAAAATAGGAAAACTGGGAAACTGAAAAATCGAGAAATCGCGAAAATCGGGAAATCGAAAAACTGAAATATGGAAAAGTCAAAAAATCGATTAATCAAAAAATCAAAAAACCGAAAATTTAGACAAGCCAGATATTAAAAAATTGAAAAATCGTAAAACTGAAATATCGGAAAATTGGGAGATCAAAGATTTAAAAATCTAGAAACGGAAAATTTGAAAAATGGAGACTGAAGAAACGTAAAATTAAAACATAAATCGAAACATCAAAAAATTGAAAAATTTTAAATGTGAAAATCTAAATTTTAAAATGTTGTAATTCAAAAATCGAGAAATCGCGAAATGGAAAAGTCAAAAAATCGATTAATCCAGAAATCAAAAACCGAAAATTTAGACACGCCAGATATTAAAAAATTGAAAAATCGTACAACTGAAATATCGGAAAATTGAAAGATCGAAGATTTAAACATTTAGAAACCGAAAATTTGAAAAATCGAGACTGAAGAAACGTAAAATTAAAACATAAATCGAAACATCTAAAAATTGAAAAATTTAAAATGGAAAAATCTAAATTTTAAAATATCGGAATTCAAAAATCGAGAAATCGAAAAATCAAAACATCGAAATATTGAAAAATCAAAAACTTGAAGATGGAAAAATTGAAAAATAGGCAAACCGGAAAACTGAAAAATCGAAGAATCGCGAAAATCGGGAAATCAAAAAACTGAAATATGGAAAAGTAAAAAAATCGAGAAATCGCGAAATGGAAAAGTTAAAAATTCGATTAATCGAGAAACCAAAAAACCGAAAACTTAGACACGCCAGATATTAAAAAATTGAAAAATCGTAAAACTAAAATATCGAAAAATTGAGAGATCAAAGATTTAAAAATCTAGAAACCGAAAATTTGAAAAATCGAGAGACTAAAGAAACGTAAAATCAAAACATTCCAAGAGTGAAATACTGAAAAACCAAAATTTTCTAAAATTGAAAATTTGAAAAACCGAAAAATCTAAAACCGGGAAGTCGAAAAATCGAAAGACTGAGAGATGGAAACATAAAAAGATTGAAAAATTGAAAAACTTAAAATGGAAAAATCTAAATTTTAAAATATCGGAATTCAAAAATCGAGAAATCGAAAATTTGCAAAATCGACAGATTGGCGAATCGTAAAATTTAAAATCGAGAAAATGAAATTTTGAAAAATCAAAAATTTCTAGAATTGAAAATTTGAAAAACCGAAAAATTTAAAACTGAAGTCGAAAAATAGAAAGACCGAGAAATTGAAACATAAAAAAGTTGAAAAACTGAAAAATTTTAAATAGAAAAATCTAAATTTTAAAATATAGGAATTCAAAAATGAAAACTTCGAAACATTGGAAAATCAAAAACCTGATAATCGAAAAATTGGAAAAAAAAACAAATCTTATAAAATCGAATTCGAAATTCCAGTTTTAATTTTTTTGTTCAGTTTTTAGATTTTTGAACTTTTGAATATTTAATTTGATAATTGTTGTTTTATGTCTAATTATTCTCTTCCAGATTCAATGATTTTCTTGCGACTTGAATTTGAACATTTATTTCCGGAATACGCCAATAGTGTTTTTTTCTTATAAATTCGACAGAGATATAATTTAAACTTACTTGAAATAAAAATAAAGAGTATAATATGCGGCAGGTTTTTTCGACATAGAAATATGGAGTGTGTTATACCTGTCTATAGCGAAATGGTGACAGACTACAACGAGGAACTTAAACAAAGAACTTGTTCTAAAATATTATAGTCATCCACAGATAATCCATATCATTGACACAACGTTAAACAAGAGTAATTGCATTGATGGACGCAAACTAAATTTAAACCCTCTTAAAACACTGCATTAATGAAGATAAAACCTGATATAATCTTTAGACATGAGACCGATAATCGCATAGATTATACCGAATTGATTGAATAATTGTTAATAGATAATCTCGTATTGTGTTAACTATTAACATATTATCAGATGAACATTTATAAAAAAAAAAAAAAATTGGTCGAGAGTTGTTTCGACAGAACTTCCCTCGCACCTGAAGTACAATGAAACATTGAGTTTTTTCTGTACACAATTTTGTGATGACATCATCAACATTTTTGCAAGGACTCGTATATTAACTTGGATGGGTCCAGTCTACACATATTAAAACAAAAAGGCAAAATGTATATTTAATAATTATACAAATTTTCCAAATTTTATAATTTTTCGATTTCTCGACTTGTCTTTGATCTTTGAATTTAACATTTTTCAATTTGTCAATTTATAGATATTTTCTCGGATTTCTCGATTTCTTGATTTTTGATTTTTCAATTTTTCGTTTCTTCAATTTATCGATTTTTTAATTTTTAAATTTTCCTATATTAAATTTTCCTATTTTTCCATTTTTCGATTCCTCCATGTCCCGATATCTCGATTTTTATATTTTTGGATTGTTCGATTTTTCGAATTTTTGATTTTACATTTTTTAGTTTTTCAATTTTTTTATTTTTCGAATTTTCAGTTTGTTCTATTTCTCGATTTTTCGATTTACAGATTTCTCCTCGTATTTCTAGATTTCTTAATTTTTCCATTTTTTAATTTT